TTAAATTAACTTTTAAAAAGGAATTAAAAATTCATTAAAAATTTATCATATACAAATAGTTACAGATAAAGTTTAAATAATAATATACATTTGATAATATAAGTGGATTTGATATGATAATCTATGAAAAAATTTCAAAGTAGAATATTCAAATTTTTTCAAAATAGAATAAAATACACCATCTAAAATATCTTCAATGCAGAATTTTTAGTAGTAACGACAAAAATCTACTCAAATAATACATCAAGTCATTTTGAAAAAACCATAGGCATTTCCTGATATAGTAAACAATTAATATATCCTATCCTGAGATAGGCCTTTTCTATTGTTCCTTTTTTACGTTAGTCAGGTGAGTGAAAACCGGTAAGAAAAAAGAATTCAATCGAGAAATAGTAGAGAAAAGGTACGACGCAAACTGATATCATAACTCACCAAATTTTTCTCTGTTCGGCCTGAGTGGTTATCCGTTTAAGCTTTAATGGACTCAACGCTCTGAATCTACTCTTCTGAAGTCCTTTCTTAATGGAACTATAATCGTGGACTGCAAGAGTGCGTCACCTGCGAAAAACATTCAATTATGGTGGGGCGACAATGACTGATTTTTCAGCTGATTCATATTTTCTGTAAGCTATTTTATATTGACCCTACTCACTTAGAATATTATTTTTGTAAAATTGTGTTGTATAATGTTTGCCAGACATAAAATATGTTTTATAATTACAAAATTAAATTTATATATTACTATTAATTTGTGCATACTATTTTTGTGCATAATTTTAAGGTAAAATGATATTGTTTATGTACATACAATAGAAATGCATTTTCATAATAATATGTATATATTTTTTAAATTTATTATATGAGATTTTTATTTACATTTATAAAAGTTAAAATATTATATTATAAAATTATGCTTTACTTTGTAATTGTAATTTTTATATACCTTTACTTTAAAACTATTATTTGTATTTGATAATAAAAAAATGAGACAAGAAATATTAAAAAATTATTATGATATTGAATTATAGGTTATTTAAATATATCTATACACTTTCAGATAACTAGCCAAAAAATTCTATCAAGATCAAGTATATTTCAAATAGATAATTAATATATATATGAATGGAAGATTTTACAAAAATGATAAAAATCATAAATTATAGGGTTTTCTAAGAGGTAATTTAAATATAAACATTTCAGTAATTAAATAATCTCTTAAAATATTTAAAATGACTTATTTATTTGCAGTATATAGAAATAAATAAAATTATAACAATACTAGGTATATTTTATTATGATTTTATAAAATGTACAATGTTACTTAAAATAGATTTTAGCTAAATGAGATTCAGTCAAGTGTATCTATTTTTATAAATTTTTTTATAATTTCATATGGATGAAAACAATAATACTATAATGAAATTACATTTTGTATCTGTCATAGTTACATCAAATTTTTTATTATGCTTATATTAAATTATACGAATTATTTTTTATGTTAGTTATTGTTTAAATGTAGTTAAAATTATTATTTGTATAATTAAATTAAAAAATATTTTATTATTAGAATTTTAATATATTTTATTTTAATATAATTGTTATCTATGAATACATAAAAACATAATATTCTTTACAAATATAAAAAAAAAATTGTATTACTATATATTTCTTAAAATAAATATATATATTAAAAAATTTTTGTTTTTAATTAATTATTTAATTTTCCCTAATGCAATTTATCTAAAAACGTATATTTATGAGTTTTATATTTATCAATATTCTTAATATATATAGAATTAAATTTATAGTGTCCTTAAATATATCATATATTGATACTAACTAATTGGATTCTGTTATATATTATAAAACGCAATTTAATCTGTTAGAAAACAAATTTTTGTTTATCTTATTAACAAATATTCATAATATATAATTTTATATTACTGATTATAAAAGTTATTGTTTAAAAAATATGAAGTAACAATTTATTATTTATAAATATATTCAATATTTATTTCGTTACTTATTAACTTCTTAACTTATTCATTTCTTAAATTAGTTAAAAATATTTATCTAATGAAAATATTCTAATGAAATAAGAAATAGTTTTTTAATTCTTAAATGAAATTGCAAAATTAAATTCCTTTCGCTAATATATTAGTTATCGTATTATAAGCTGTATATTAAAACCAAATATAGTATTTGTAGCATAGTCATTTAAAAAATGTGAAAATTAGAATATTTTTTAAGGTTTTGTTCCTTATTTGACTTTATAAATTTATAATAAAATTAAAAAATTATCTTGGTATTTTTTTTATACATATAATTTTGATATGAATTTTTTCTATATATATTTAATTATTAACAATTCCAATATCATTCGATAAATATAATAAACTATTATTGTAAATATAATTTAAATATATAAAATATAATTATAGTGTAGATGTTACAGTTTATTATTAAATTATACAAATAAAGTGATAAGCTTTTTCATTGAAATCTATACATTGAAAGTAATTTTTATTTATAAATATTATTTCTTATAGAATTTTATTTTTTCATTAAACTAAAATTTAACAAAATTGAAGCCTATAGATCCATTCTACAATTTTTTAATTGATAATTAATTACTAGTAATTAATTTTTATTGATGATCCTTATTTTTCTATTAAAAATTCTTCATTCACTATTTTTTCAATTAATTAATTAATTAATTTTTAAATTAATTCAATTTTAAATTTCTTGTTGATATTTTGTATACACTCTTGAGATCAAATAAATTAAAAACAAGGAATCTAACGAATCATATTTATATATAAATTGCAAGGAGATTGTTATTATTAATAAAATATTAATTTAATTATGGATTCTTTTTTAATGATCAGGAGTTACATAAGTCTAAAGATACAGGAAATTAGAAAAAATATCTGTTATTTATGTAAACTTATAAATATGATAATACAAAATATGGCATTAATAAATATTTCATTCAAAATGAGCTGTGTTAAAATAATTATCTTATTTAAATTAATTATCTTTTATTTTTAAACAAAAAGCAGTCTTTTTAAAACTGAAACATTGCATCAAAAACAAATCCAAAACGTAAAAAATTATTCCATCACTTATTAGTTCGTATAATATCTTATTAATACTATTTTCTTTATAAACTTATTGTCGATCAATTGAATCGATCAATTAATTGTACGAATAATTTAATGAATAAATGATTCGATAGGATCACAATTTTAATTAAACTATTATTGCGATTTGATAGAATTAACGTACTAATATAGTAGAATTTCGGATTAATTAATGTGTAAAAAATGATGTTGAATTTAACAAAAAAATACATTATAAAATGGAACGCTTATAAAATTATGAATAATCTTTGTAAACTGGAGATTTAGTGTTCTTTTTTTGAAATGATATTATTTGTTTTAATAATAAGCTTTTACTGAGTATAAAAATATTTTACTTAATTTTTACTTCATGATATGCAGGTTATTTTAGAATATTTTACATTAAATGTTTTCGAAAATAATATATTTTTAATAATTATACAATGTTAAAATATATTGTACTAATATATAGTGTGAAAATAAAAATAATTATAATAAAGATTATATTATAATTTTTTCTATATTTTGTAAATTTATTGTCAAAATTGGCAATTCATGTAATTAATATTTTTCTTAAATTTGTATTATTATTTAAAATTAATATTTGTATACATCTAAAATGGAATTTTTAAAGATACTATATATAATATGTCAAGGCTATTAATTAGACAATTATGTTAGAAATAATTTATTTTAATAATATTTATTTTAAAAACGATTCTTCACAAATTGTGAAAATTGATAAATATAGTTAAATTAATTATTAAGGTATCTTATTATTAATTATTAAAATCAAATGAAAAATTCATTTCATTAGTGAAGTATCTGATTATTAAACTATTACGACTTAATTGGAAATGAACATAAAAGATAAATTAAGTGTAGTTTGTATGAATACATGAAATAAATCTAATAATTTTAGATGCGTTTAATAGGAATACTTAAAGATTTAAAATTACTAGTTATTATTTCTTGTTTAAAATTTCTGTTCATACTTAACAATTTTGTTGCAGTCATATATATTCTTATGTTTAGCATTAGTATTCGTTAGCGTTATATAACTTAATTATATTATTTAAAATTTTAAACAATTATTGCTAAAAATTATGAGTTTTAAAATTAAATTATGTAAACCAAAGTTTTTAATATTATCAATATATTAAAAAATCACATTTTTGTTAATATTATTCAGAATGTATTTAATATCATTAAATAATATTAAATACGTATATTTAAAATAATATAATAATATTAATATGTATAGTTAGTGAAATATATAAATGTTTTAAAATGAAATATTAATTTTAATTTTACTATGAAGAGGTTTTAATTAATTTAAAATAGAATTAAATAAGGAATTAGATTTTTATTTCTAAAAATTTTTAATCATAGAATAATACATAAAAGTGAAATAAAAATATAATAAAAAAATGTCAGAAATGTTTCATAAACATAACATGTTTACAGAAATAATTATTTTTTCAATTTCATATATCATAAGTTTGTACAATAAAAAATAATCCCAATATTTACACGATAATTTATACATTCATACGTATATATACACGTACATGAGCATAATAATGAATTAAAATTTTGAGAACCTTGAATTAATAGTCAGCATTTACACTCCTACCCATAGAATTTTTTGCAATTCTTTGTAACCTTATATGTAACCAACGGATTTGTTTATATATATATATATATATAACGTATGTATAAGATATATATAAGAATACAAATATTAATTTAAATTATTAAAAATATTAATAAATACTTCATATATTATTGTTTTTAAATTAAAAATCACGTTTTTAAAAATTATCGAAAAAATAGGGAGGTATAGTTGTTAAATCAATATTCCCTTTTTACAGTTGGAGGTGGAGTCAACACCTTTGGGCGGAGTTTCAAGAGTTTGACTCCAACCATTTAAGAATATTACTGTTGTATCTTGTCAACGCCTTCAAAAGATATTCTACGAATCCATGGGCACTAACATGAAAATAAGGAAATACTTAAAGAAAAAATTTTTTCTCTCCGCCTCACGTGTTTAGGGACTCCTACTTTTACGATCTACTCCCTCTTTTTGTTCTCCTCGGCCTCTATAGTTAGTAGCAAAAGTGATTATCCAAGACAGTTCTCGAGTCGCAGTCGTACCTGCAGCAAGATATTTGAAGATCTTGAAGATGTTGCCTACGCAGTAACAAGTATTTGCTAACATTTTAGATCATGTTGATTTGGGGATTAATTTTGTTTACCGAAAAAAGGTCTTGTTTAATATAAGTGTATATTTCTATTTCTTTATAATCCCCGCCCCCCACCAAAAAAAAAATATATTCTTGTGCGATTTTGTTTATGTATTCTTTTACATTTTTATTTGTTGATCCGAATTGATCGTGAATAATGGATTAATCAATCTACTGAGTAGTGAACTGTGATAAGAAATTATTTAACATAAATTATTATTAAAATATTGATGCACCTATTATGTAATAAAATCTAAAATGTATGTGCAACATGTGTAATTATGGTGTCAATGTGTGCAAGTGTTCAATATATGTTTTATATTGTTATTTCATGTTTAAAATTTCAAAGTATACTTTTAATAGTGAAAAATTTTTATAAAATTTCTTTTTTTCTATGAAATAGAAGTCGATAAATAGGAAAAACTGTATTATTCAAAAAATAGACAAACTTAAAATAAGCTGATTAATGATTAAAAGATTCATAATTTTTATGAAGTGAAAAAATATATTATTAAAACTATAATAATTTAGTTGGACCATTTGGATTACAAATGTAGTCCTGAAAATTGAGAAAATGTATTAAATGTTTTTAGTTGAATACCTATAAAATATGTCATAATAAGTGTTCGAGTTAGTATAGAAATCAATTAGAAGTTTTTAATATTCTCGAAACAGTAATGATTTTGAGTAAGTATTTTCGTTTATATATATTGTTTTATTATGGGGATGATAAAACTATTATAAAGTGATTAAAATTTCTTCATTATGTTAATATACCAGTAGGCGAATTATTAATCTTTTGAATACAAAATAATATTTTACTTTTTGTTTTATTAAAAAAGTAATTTAAGAATATTCATATAAACAAAAAATTTTAATTATATATTTTAATATATTTATGTGTGATAATAGTTTATGAGGTTTATGCTATTTTGAATATTATTAAAACCAATGAATCATTTTTAATATAATTTGGTTATAAAATTATTAGTGATACTATTTAATAAAATATCGTTATTTTTTAATATGTTTTAATTTCGACTAATTTTATTTTTCAGTGATAAGTATAATAATATTTCAGGTTATTTAATTTAAAGTCGTAATTATTTATCAACAGTTATTAATATTACATTAAATTTGTAAATTATATATATTCTTTAATATTTTTCATTTCGAATGATATGTTTATTGTTAATAATTTATACAACTTTAAATTTATATTTTTGAAAAGCTATCTGAGTTCAAATTCCTTTTTATTAATCATAAAAAGTTTGCAGTGTATATGCTTTATTTTGAAGTGCATAAAAAATAAAAGGGTACATAAATTACTATATAATAAATTCTATGTAAATTGTAATAAAACAATAGTTTAATCAAATGTGAAATTGATTTAAATATACAATGTTTTGAAAAAGATATAAAAATCTAAGAATAATTTTCAATTTGTCTAAGGAACCATATTGTTATTTTATTTTAAATAATAGGAACACTACTACTGTTAGATTTTTAAATAAATTTTAACAAATAAAAAATATTTCATAAAATATTAAGTTTAAAAAACTACAAGTACAATATTATATAGTAGCACTGGAATATATTAGAAAATAGAAAATATATTAAATATTTAATATAAGTTTATTTATTATTTTATTACATTATAAATATTTATTAAAATTATTAGATTTACAATGTAATAACGTGCTAAATATTTGATGTTAACATACAAAAATTATTAAAACAAATTTTTTTTTATAACAAATAGCTTAAAATTAATATATATATATATATATATATATATATATTACATAAATATATATTACATTTCTTTTTATTCGAAAAATCACTATATTAAAATTATGTTTCACTTAGCAAATATGCAAAAGCTGTCCTGATTAAAGAAAATACTTTATAATATAAAATGTAAATGATGTAAACATATTTTTTTCTAAATTTAGTGGAAAAATATTTTAAACAAATAATTTATTCCTAATTCATTAAATTTCCCGACTAGAAAGAATGTAAATGTACCATGTACTGAATTAAAATTTATTTTATTGACTAATTTGATTTAATAACTCATTATTATTATATATTTAAAATAAACATTAAATATATTTTAAATACTAACATAGATTTATTATAAAAATGGCCTGACTTGATCATAAATTTACAGATAGAGAGCATAAAATATTCTGTTTATATAATATTAACATTATACTTACTAAATGATGGTAAAAATGGACTATAAACAATACTGTAGTTTTTACTAAAGTGTACAGGAATTGAAAAATAATTTTTTTCAAAGATTCAAATATTTATGTAGAGCTATAATGCACATCTAAGACTACACAATCAATACTCTTTGAAAAATCACTGTTGTCTACATAGACATTATATTTTTCATTTTCAAATTAAATGTTGCTATCCAACTTTAATAATAAATATACTAATTATTAAGACAACATTATAGTTAAAGTCATATTAGTTGCAGACTCAAGTGCAAGATTAAAATAAAATGATGTATAGGAAACGATATGATGAGGGAAAAATTATACATTCTTTAACTATGTTTTTAATATATTTGTATATAAATATTAAAGAGATTAATGTAGGTAATGAGGGCGTTTTTTATATTATAATAGTACTTTTATTTTTATTTTATGTAAAATAATGTTTATGTAGCATTATCACTTTCTATATAAAAAGTGAAATAAAAAATTCATCATAAATATCTATTTAAATATAAGTACTTATGGTAATATTCAAATAAATGGTTTACTTTAATACATCTGAAAATATTAGGAATTTTTCAAGTTTTCTAATTCTAATAGAATTAATATCTCATCACAATATTTAAAAATTTTAAACTTAAACAAACTTGTTCTTAAATATGCCAATATTCATATAAAAATAAAAATTTATAACGAAATACAAAATAAAATACAAAAAAGATGTTATTTTCTAATATTTAATAATAAATTATTTTATCAATCTATAATATTTATTAATTATTACTTGATAATGATTGAAACAAACCAAATAACAGCACATTTTTACATTTTCTATATATAATAATAAGAAATACATATATAAAAAAAAATAAATAACTAGCTTTATAACAACTTTATTCTTTTATTTTAATACGTACTTTGATTAGATTTATATATTATTTGGACTGATTTATTATTTATTATATCTTGATAAATCTACAAATGATTCTAAACTATTTAAAACTTTGTCAATACCTTCAAAACTATTTGTTTAAGATTTTGATAAAAATAAGTATATTAACTATTTATACAAGCCAATTATTAATGCATAACTGATGGTTTAAATAAAAGAATATTATTTAACTACTTTTTAGAATGCATTCATTTTCAAACGTAACACTACTTATGAAAAGGAATGAAATATTATAAATTCTTATAATAATAATAATTTTATATTTTCCATATATATTATTTAACTATATATATTTCATAAATATTCTAGTGATGCGTTATGATTAAATTTATATCTTTTATATTAATTTTCTCAATGAGACCAATTACATCAGGAATATTAGTTATTGAACTAATTAGAAATATATTATTTAAAGAAACATAGAAATTGAAAATGTATTTAAAAAAATATTTTTTAGTTATATTAAAGCGATCATGGTACTAACTAAAGCAAAATGTTGTTATAGTAGAATTGTCCATTTTCTTGTAAATGTATTGCAATTAATATATATTAAAACAATGTAATATAATATAATTTTACATATAAATTTTTTTAATTTTTATTAATTTGTAAAAAACCTAAACACATTAATTAATCCTCGTTACATAATTGTAGACATGGTTGATCAATATTATTGATATAATCAAATATTATTATACAAAATAAATATTGATTATTATGAAAGAATAATTGAACTTTTAGTTAATTCTTAAATCCGTAAATTATTTAATAAAAAAGTTTTCTGTGAATAGATTTTTTAATTTATAGTAATTTATAGTGTAGTTTGATATTTCGATATAAAAAATAAAAATAATATATAAATATAAATTGAGATAGTTACAAAGCAATGGTTTTATCTACTATCGATTCTAATATTATATACTCATAAGATAATTCTCATAAACTCCTTTAGAGTGAAATAATAATTTTAAGCTTATGCATATATGTGAATTGTGAATTAATATCATAATTATAAGGCTTCTGAATTTTTCGATATCATGTACATAATGTATGGCTGTATTAAAATCGCGTATTTTGAGTATATCTATCGAACAAGAATTTTATATTAATTTAGGTTAAATTTCTTAAGGAATCATGTAGCTTTTTTTGTTTGTATTTTTGTTGTACTGTATTTGATCTATAATAGATTCTGATCTAAGTCGAAAGCATAAACAAAAACAGTCTATGTATTAAAATTGATCAAGCTATGTTTATTATAACATTTGATGTAAGTTGTAATTTAATTAATAAATTGTAGTTACTTACAAATTAAAGTGAAAAAGATAAATGTTAATTTGAGATTTAATATTATAATTTTATTGCAACTTTATACATGAAAATTGTAAAAATAATAAAACTTATAATATATACTAGTCTTTTTATGTAAGACAATAATGATCAATTTATACTAAATGTATTTACATTTAGTATAAGTTATAATTAATAAATTAGTACATATAAAGATACATTTATAAAATAAATTATTAATTGAATTAAATTTTCCATTTTTATTATTCCTGTTATTTTAACTGGTTATTGATCATTTGCGTTATAATTACAATACTTATTTAAACAATAGAAAATATTACGTTACTATAAGCGAGTAATATTTTCTATTATTTAAAGGAAGGTACTGAATACTGCCTTCAACCGACTATTTAGTACTAACTGCGAAATTTTTTTCCTACATAATGTGAAAAAAGAGGCATATTAATGTTGTAAAATCAGTGTTTAAGAGTACCTGGACGGCATATGAATGGGTTTGATACATTATAAAACAAACTGAAGTAACTACTATA